AAGTTTCCCCCTCTTGACAATGAGACATTGTCCCATATTGGAAGAGGAAGACATTTTTGGTGGGTGTATATATAATTGCTCTTCTTGTAGCTCTTAAAGAGTTAATAAGAAAGCAAGCCTCGCGCCGTCGTCGTCGTCGCTCGCTCGGCTCGGCTTCGGCTACGGCTACGGCTTCGGCTTCGGCTTCGGATTAGGATTTGGATTTGGATTTGGATTTTGGATTTGGATTTGGATTTGGATTTGGTCAAATGATCGATTGATTGATTAATTTTTTGGACCAAATTTATTTGTTAATAGTAAATATTAACGTAAGATTATCCGCATTTGTAACGGATATTTTCCAATCCGTGTATTGACCATTTGGCAGCCGCCTAATGCTCTTCCCACCATGAATGTGCTTGCTCCACAAACATGAATGTGCTTGCTCCACAAACAAGCTAATGCTTGCTCCACCATGGAGGGTGGACGTTTGGTCTTCTTCAACACTGGCTGCTATATATATGTGCAGCAGATGTTGAAGAAAGACACTCAACACACAACATACAATTCGCTCAACAAATTGGCTATACATTGCACTCCTTCCTCTCAGCATTTCCATACGATTTTCTGAGTTTATACTCCTTCGTTCTGCATTGTTTTTAACTTCAAACAAAGCAACTGTAAGTGTGATTTGCTACCGAACTTTGTGTTCGCTGAAACACTGGGGTTTGAAGTACCGCTACACCAGTGTGTTATTCGTTCTATCCTGGGAGAAAATAATCCATTACCTTGGGTACTAGGAGGGGATTAAATTCCTTAAGGAAACACTGTGAATTCAGTGGGCTCGAATTAATTACTGTTTCATAACGTTAACTTATATTTTGCAGAATTATTATTTACAAATACAGCAATATTGACGGGAATAACAGTATTCATTGATACATTCATTTTGTGCGAACGAATATAGTTAATATAACTTTTCCATCAAAATTGTATTAATTGATACAAAACGAATATTGTTTATACAATTTTTTCATCAAAATTATAATTCATTTACACAGTCATTATGTACGAATTAATACAGTTGATATAACTTTCCATCAAAACTGTAGTCATTAATACAACCATACGAGCGAACAAATACAATTAATTATAAGTTGCGAGCAACTGATTGATACAACAAAATATGAGTTTAGTTGTATGTGCTTGATACATCGAAATTGATACATTAGTTATAAATAGTAATTAGACAAATTATAGTTATATATGATAATTATATATTAAACTATAGTATTTTATGATAATTCTTCTAACATATTTCACAATTCAAAGTACACAATTTCAATGGTAACTCTATTAAACGATAGATCTTACCCTCCATACCAATCACGGATTTTTCTTTATTCCTCTCGTATATTGTCCTAACACCCTTAATGCTAGGTTTTGAAAAAGACTTTTCATGTCATTTCCATTTAGGTCCGATTCAGATCTTGAATTAAGATCTTTTAGGTCATTGAATTAGAAAAAACAACCCACCACAAAAAATACATAAAATAAATAATGTCATGTTTCTTTTGAGGTACTCCTATAATATTTTATCAACCATATTAAGAAGGTACAATCCCTGAATACTTATTCACTGTTTAGTTAGTGGTATTAAATAATACTTGAATTAAGTACTGTGAGTAATGTAAACATGACATGAAACAAAAATACACATATCAGTATGTGGAGATAAAAGTATTTGAAGATAAAAATATCCCAAGTAATTATTGTATAACATTCTCGGTATTATTATTACCGTAAAACAATCTCTACTATTTATGGGAAAATATTCATTTATTTTGTTAATTATTACATAACTAGCATGTAAAATAGTACTAATAAGTCAATTTCAAAAATTAAAATTGTGTTGATGGGAAGCGGAGTTTCCTATTGAACTATATGAACAAAAGATAAAAGGAAAAGGGAAAGGAAAGAAATGTTGAGTTGCCAATGGAGCAGCAGCTTCACTAGAGTATGCTACAGTTCACCATTTCCCTCGCAGCAATTTAATAATAAGGCGTTAAACTTGAACAGACACTGTTCCCTTACCAAATCATCTATGGAGGATTCCAGTTCTCAGGTTTCGCAATCGCTCTTTCAATTTCTCACAAAGAAGCCTTACGAGCCTCCTCAATGGGCCTCTCATCTTAGCCCCCTTCCCTCTCACACTTTTTCCCTTGGACATGTAAGATAACAATCTGTTTTTATTTGTTTGGTTTATGCGTAGGAGAGGATTAATCATTCTGTTTGTTTTTTTCTTTCTAAATTGTGGGATTGTGCGTAGTTTCCGACTCCAATTCACAAGTGGAACCTGCCTAATTTGCCCAAGGACACTGAGGTTTGGTTAAAGGTATTTTTTTCACTTCTTCTCTATTTTAGTTTAGCCTACTTCACTAGAAAGTAAGGATGGACCAACGCAAACAGGCTAAGTTATTTTCTATGCACTAAAAAATAGGAAGAAATGTTTAAGCTATTAACTATTATGTTTGATCCTTTTCTGTTGAAGCAACGAGACAATGTTATAAAAGGAAAATTTTACTCTGAGGTTTTTCTGATGTCTTACTAGGCAAGCATATTGTTATCTGATTCGACCAACTCAGGACTCGAAAAAAGTTCCAATTATAGCAGACCTTTTTGCAATTTTGGTTTAGCAGTGTACTGCTTGAAGCAAGTTCTTCTGATGTAGTCTCTCATACTAACCTTTGCGACAGAATCTATTTAATCCACCGCAGATTGCTACAGTATGATATAGAGTGCCCCAAATTTCACTTTTTAGGTCCTTACCGGGGAAAACATTTATTTTTAGGTAAAAGGGAAATTTAAAAAAGAGGAATGAGGTCTCAGAACTATTACTTATTTGATAACAGAAATTTCTTTCCATTTTTTTATTGGAGTGATTACCCAAACATTCTATATCTAATATCTGCGCACCAACTTTATGTGTTTGTTGAACTGAAATTACTGTAAACTAGGGAGTAGAGTAATACATGTGGTATTTTCGTGCAAGTAATGAAGAATGGCATAATCTGAATAATTGAAATATTTTGTGAAGTTATTTCCAGTGGCATTAGACATGAGTCCTCTTTTAACATGTTTGCGTGTATGATGTGTGCCTGTATGGTAAAAAGAGGGAAACAAAATAAAAGGAAAAAGTTAAAGGACACGACTATACACCATACTGAGAAAATATCACAATCAATTAAGAAGCTGAGTGACGTGAGAACATCACATCAACCTATGTGCTGTCAAGTATACACTGCAGCTTGATTGCCTGGATATTGCTCGTTGTTGGGTCAGTACTAAGAGGTGCTACTAGAACATTGATCATTTATAAGATAGGTGGTAAAGTTTCCTCTCAAAAATATTTTATAGTGTATCTAAAGTACGAATTATGGGTCTATAGGTAGCCTGAGAATGGCTTTTCTTTTGTGCTATTGTTTCTCTCATGTGCTTTGGTTACCTTTTTCACTGTGCCACTATTCCAGATTTATTCTAACATGAGCGAACTTCGAATTTACAGCGTGATGATATATCAGGAATGCAGTTGAGTGGAAACAAGGTCAGGAAGCTAGAGTTCTTGTTGGGAGATGCTGTGGCACAGGGGGCTGACTGCATAGTAACTATAGGTGGCATACAAAGTAATCACTGCCGTGCTACTGCTGTCGCTTCCAAGTACATAAACCTTGACTGTTATCTCATCTTACGCACTTCAAAGGTATACCTTAGTTGTTCTTTTGGTATTTTGTTTGATTCCTACATCTGCCGCAAGTCACCACTTCCTGTTTATGTGAATAACATCTTTAGCTTTGTCACAGTTGCTTGTGGATAAAGATCCTGGATTGATAGGGAACCTCCTTGTTGAGCGATTAGTTGGAGCGCACATCGATCTTGTCTCAAAAGAAGAATATGCAAAAGTTGGCAGTGAGGTCTATACTTTCCTAATCCATACAAATTTATTTGTATTTGTAGTTATTTTCTTGCATTACATTATATTTTTAAAAAGATTTTCTTGTGCTCTTTCTTCACTAAAGCACTCCCCTTGATTGGCTTTAGGCCTAGCTGACACTAGGTGCAGAGGTATTTTGCATCACTGACTCATTTTGTGTCCTCTATTGCCCACCAACACCTGGTACTCACAAAGTTAAATTTCAACTTGAAGCGTCAAAGAGTTTTCTCTTCCTTCTTCCTTCAAAGATTCTGGTCTCCTTTTCCTCTCCTCCTCTGCCCCTCACCAAAGGAAAAAATTTATGTGCCGGAACTTTTCCTCTTTCCATTGATATATGGATGCCCTTGAGGAGTTCTTTCACTATTCAGGTGCTTTTGACTAGTGCTATTCGATGCAAGAATATGAAGCCACACATACCACGTGAAATCAGTAATCTGTGTGATAAAATAAAAATAGAAATAAGTTGCTGATTAATTGGTGAGCTGAGAACTAGTATTGTCCTCCAATTTCGGGATGTGCTCTTGATTTTCCAAATGGAACCAGTATTTGAACCTTGTACAATTTTCAGTTGTACGGAAGCTAAGAGCCCGTTTGGACATAAGAAATTTTTCCCTTTTTTTCAAAAAATCTTCACTTTTTTCCGAAATCAACGTTTGTCCATATAATTTCTAATTTTCACTTGAAGATGCGTTTTGGAATTTTTCGAAATTTTGAAAAACTCCAAAAAGTTGTTTTTCAAAATTTTCACTCAGATTACTCACAAAATTTCAAAAACAACTCAAAATTATATTCATGTCCAAACACAACTCTAATTTTCAAATACCATTTTCACTTGAAATTTTTTTTCACTTTTTTTTGGAATTTTACAATTCTTATGTCCAAACGCCCACTAAGTCTGTCTCATAGTAGCCTTAAGCTGATAGGTCTTATCTTTAATAGTACTGATCCTAATGTGTGTTACATCTCAGGCTCTTACCAAATTATTGAAAGAAAAGCTGTTAAATGAAGGAAGAAAGCCGTATGTCATCCCTGTTGGTGGATCCAATTCTTTAGGAACCTGGTGAGGCTCGTTTTCTTATGCAACTGGCTTGTTTCCTATGTCTGATAAATCCTAGGCCTACTTCCTTTCTTTTTCCTAATTTTCAGCGTTTCACTTGCACCTTGAGATGTGTATTGGGTACTTTCAGCATCAGATTGTATCCAAAAGTTCTTACTGATAATCTTCAGGTCTGAGTTTAGAGCTCCCTATACAGCTTCTGAACTTATTGCGTTTGCCTTAATTTGAACTTCAATATGTGGTCAATTTCCCTTTTCATTGTGAAGCCTTCAAGAGTGAATATCTTTTCCATCTAGTGGTCCCTAATTGAGCCATAGCCTGCGATATTAATAATTTACTTCTGGTGCAAATGTTGACTCTACTCAAATCATTATGCAACTCCATTTGCGGTATGGCATACATGATACCTACCTGTGTCACTTTTTTGATAAGAAGGATACCTACCTATGTCACTAGCCTTGTTTCATTGAGTTTTTTTCTGTAATGATAGTGTTCATCCTGCATTAAGTGGCTACATAAACTGTTATAGCGAATATCTATCCATCCTTCAGAAAATCATTCAATTTTTCCTTTTGACAAAGATGGAGTTTCTCTACATCCTCAAAGTTTAACCTACAATATGTCAAGGGAAGACAGATAAGCGATGGTTCAGAAGGTTAATTTTGAGAGTTTTTAGTTTTGCTTTAAACAAATGATAGCTTATGTAAATACAGACTCTTTCATTCTGGAGCTATTTGTAGAAGAGTAGTGAGTGATTAATGATTAACAAACTAGAAAAGAGAGAAAGAGCATTAATGTCATATATGCATGTTATAGGATGTTTTCTCATATTGAAGCCTTTTATATTCTGCCTGCCTTGTATTCTTGTTGTGGGGGGGGGGGGGGGGGGGGGAGGAGGAGATTTTCTCCGGCTTCTCCCACAACCCTTTTGTTTCGTTCTATTAGAATTGCAGTATTAGAGCAAAGAAATGATTCTTATATGTTTCGATTCATTGCTTGAATATTTGGACGGCACGAGCCTCAGAGGCGGATCCAGGATTTAAATTCTATGGGTTCAATTTTAAAATTTTTAGCATTGAACCCATTATATTTTTAAAGTTATGGGTTCAAATATACTATTTTTGCAATTTTAATGAATTTTTACTTACAAATTTTTACTCCGCGTCGAAAGTTATGGGTTCAGTTGAACCCGTAGATAATACACTACATCCGCCTCTGACGAGCCTTGGTTAGACTCAGTAATTATTCCGTCTTTGCACCTTCCATGTACTAGATAGTGTTACTAGTTTGCCTTGCTTTAACCTGTCCAAAATGAAAGAAAGCTGCTCATTACCTGCCAAAAAATAGGTGTACTTGACCCTTTTGAAATTATCCAAACCCATCTAAGCCCTTACAGCTGCTCCTTTCTCAAACCTATAGGATTAAGGCTTAGGTACCAGAAAAATGCTAGACCTACTGAGGCAGAGCAGAGAATTGTTATATGCTGTGCTAGAAGGCCAACAGTGGTATACAGCTCAACCTCCTGTAAGGCACTGCCAGCAGAAAGAAGAAAACTTAATATTGCATGATGTTGGACAGCAAGTGCTCTCACTTTCATATTGGACCGCAAATGCTCTCACTTTCATATTCTCATATCTCATATTTAGCCTTCTCATGTCTTTTCTTTTCTCCTTTGTCTCTGTTGTTCAGTTTTGCTTCTGGTTCCACCTCAATATAGCTGTTTTGTTTTTGTGTCTTCACAAAGACACTAAAATTTGGAAGAATATTTGAGTTTCCATTGATATTGGCTGTTAATTGTAGAACTCCATGGGGAGCTTAACCCCGCATTATAGTGATACTTAGAAGGGCCTACCTGGGACCTGAAATGAAGACTGCTAGAAATATGAAGTATAATCAAACTTTTCATGTTCCTCTTACCAGATGAAACCCTCTCACTGGCCTCTTGGAATTGAACAGTCAAATAACCTTATGGATTATTACATTAGCATTTTTCAGCTGCCTGTCAATATTCCTATTATCCATTTCAACCCTAATATGATGACACTAGGGTAGCCAAGATGACTTATTTTCTTGATTGACAGAGCTATCAGCCCTTCAGAAGCTAGTAGCCAGTTAGAATACATGCCAAAGTTCTGCCTTCTCTATGCTGATATTTATACTATCTTTCATAGAGTTACAGATGCATGTTTTAAGAAAAGATCGAAGGATCAGCATTATTAGTTGAAGAACCAAGGTTCCATCCTTTAATTTATTAGTAGGCACCTCAAATACCTAAATTTGTACATGGACTGAATTACGCTCTGACCATCAAGTTGCCATCCTTAAGTAATGGATAGTGATGGTACACATTCTAAACTATACACAGCTGAGCAAATTTTGCTCTAAAGGTTTTCCCTACTTAATGAAGAAATACAAAATCTGTGTCTTAGTTTCACCATTTTGACAAGTGTGACTATTTTTGCAGGGGCTATATTGAAGCAATCCGGGAAGTTGAGCAACAACTTCAGCACTCAAGCAGTGAATGGAAATTCGATGACATTGTTGTAGCTTGTGGCAGGTTTTGCACCTCCTCTGCTTAATTTTTATGATTTGGTATGCTATACATGGATTGTTACATTTAAAAATCGCCCATGTATGGAATCACTAAAAAGCAACACTTGCTAAAACTATGGTTGAAAAGTTTGTCAAGGAGTCCGAAAATAAGTAGGGATATGCTATGAGCTTAGAGAATGACCGAGACTTGTATTCCTAGTAAGGATAGTATACTCAGTTGGCCCATGACATGTCTTGACTGTAGTTATACACACACATACTTCCTCTCTTGTTTGGTATTTCTATTACTGAGTGGCTTTGATAGTTGTTCCTTAATGCATCAGTACGTGTCAGTATGTCTGGTATATGTTTAGAGTGTCTCTATGCTGCTTGGTATCTGTGGAGGATCTTAGCTTCTTGATCCTGGCATCATGACACCCTATGGGATGTTGTAGGGAGCTAATAACCTTCTGGGACTATGGTCTTTTTGTTTGTATACAAATTGCAATTATCTTGCTTAAGGAGCTATTGAATTGTTAACAGATTCTCCGTGGACATTGGTTCCGCCCACTTTAGTGGTGAGGCTCAATTTTCCCCTGCCTCCTAATAACCTGTTTTCCTATCAAAGCGTATGATTTGAGAGTAGCTACCTCTGAAAACCAGATTGAATTCACTAACATTTGCTTTGCATCTCTACATGCATAATTGAGTCTCCCTGTGCCCGGTACTTTTAAAAGATCAAGAGATTCTCCATGGACATTGCCACCATCTTTTTGGTGCCTTCCAGTAGACCTTTTATCTATTAATACATTTGATTTGAAAATGTTTATCATTGAGAACCTGATTGAACCTGAAGAAATTTTCCTTTCGCATTTCTAGGTGCCTCAGTTGTCGATCTCTAGTAGAATTTCTGGTTTATTTTTATATGTACTCTTCTTTTGGGAATGCTTGTACTCAATGAGTAACCTCAACTTCCTAAAAGTGATCTTTTGTTTTGTCTAGAGTTACATTATGGTGAAAGTCAATGATTTATCTTACAGTGTTCTAACATCACTGCCATGTCTACATGGTTTTCAGTGGGGGTACAGTCGCTGGTTTGTCAATTGCATCCAGGCTCAGTGGCTTGAAAGCAAAAGTAAATTGCTTGTGTCTTTATTTTAAAATTCTCTCATCTTCAGACACAGCAAATGTCACTAATAAGTGGTTCGAGTTTGTAGGTTAATGCATTTTGTGTTTGTGACGATCCGGATTATTTTTATGAATATGTTCAAGGCCTACTTGATGGAATTAATGCAGGCGTCAGCTCACGTGATATTGTTAGCATTCAAAATGTAAGGACTTCATTGTTTTCTCCTTTCTTTAAGCACACCTGTTTTACATTCATCAATTTCATTGTGTAACTTCTTGAAATACTAATTTCATGATAAAACAATGTGATCTATTGATTGTAATTCATGGATATTTTGGTCTTTGTAACTGTAAGTGTTCTCTCTTCCCATGTTATACATTTTACATAGCTTATGACGTTTAACATGGATTGCTATGCTCAAAATAAAGGACTTCTTTCTGAATATCCTTCATGGCCAAAAACTTTGATTGATAATTTTCCCTGCTAAATAATGCTTTCATCAAAATCTCATCATAAATCATTCATGTCCTCAATCCATCTTGCTCAAGAGTAACTATGGAAATTCTGCATATGATGTATTAGTCTGGTTCTCTGAGGAACTCCATGGTATCAACAAGTACACTTTGGTTTTTTAACAGGCGAAAGGCCTTGGGTATGCTATGAGCACAGCTGACGAGCTTAAATTTGTGAAGCAAGTTGCTGAAGCCACAGGTGTTATTCTCGACCCTGTCTACAGGTATGGCCAAGTGTGCCTTCTCATTCTTTCTTTATGTTCATATGGCAAGGAAGAGTTCAACGGCCTGTCTACACAATTCGCTTGTAGTCTGTAAAATGCATTGCACAAACATGTTTTCAACCTAAAAAACTGCCTATTCTTATGAATGCACCAAATTTTGCAAAGGTCGGAGAATAAATCTTTCGCTATGGAGCCCGTAATAGGGGAATCCTGGGTTATGTGGTAATGAAACATGGTTTATTGATATTGATTTTGTAAACTTATCTGTATTGAAGTCTGTTGTTGGCTTGCTATAGTGATTCTTTAAGAGGAGAAATGTATTAAAACTCGCTAGATGCCGAGCGTAACAGAAGGTCTTCGGCCTTTTTGTCTTTAAACAAGTAGTATACAACTGTTTTAAAGTTGAATTGAACCTTGCACTTGAATTATACGTAAATCGAGGAAGAGCAGTGAGACTGAGTGATACACAACTCAAAATTACTGATATTGATTCTTGATTGTCTATTTGTGAGGATACCTTGTTGACACATTCTTTTGATTGTTCATTGTTACAGTGGTAAAGCAGCTTATGGAATGATAAAAGACATGAACGAGAATCCAACAAAGTGGGAGGGAAGAAAGATTCTCTTCATACATACAGGTGGCCTACTGGGTTTATATGACAAAGCTGATGAAATGGCCTCATTAATGGGCAAATGGCGTAAGATGGATATCAATGAATCTATCCCAAGACAAGACGGCATCGGCAAAATGTTCTAAAATCTTGAAAGAGGTGATACCAAATTGTGTTGTCAACATGTCAGGATGAGCACCAGCATTTCTAGATTTTTTTAGTTGAATAAAAGAAAGTGCTTTGTGCCACTTGTACGAATGGTTGAATTATGAATATGATTTATCTCTTGAAAGCTTGAATAATTTGAGTGTAAATGGCAGATGTGAAAGTAGAGGGCCCATGACTAGAAATTTTGGCAGCTAAAAGATGTGGTTAACTATGTTATCTAGATTTTAAAGGACTTTGTCGCTGCTAGTCAATTCGAAAGGGGAATCCATGATGCCAAAGGACCGCTGAAAATGGAACCACTAATGCAAGGTGGTTGGGAGTTAGTAGGTAACCGGGGAATTAGTCGAGATATATGTAAGCTGATATAACAATTATAAAAAGAAAATAATAATAATAATAAAATACATTGTTTTATTTGGAAGTTAACATGAAACAATTAAGAAGTTGATAGGGGATAAACAACTGAGAAATCATGTGATAGTCGAGAGATCATGCTATTTAATTCGTTCTACATCAGCGGAGATCTTTTATTTATTTGGGGTCCATAATATGTAATGTATCGCCAACTTTCTAATTGAAACTAACTTGATGATGTTATGAAAATAATTACAATGTGGATGTCTATTTATTACTCCGTTATAGATAATTTTTCTGAAGAAAATTATCCGCTTAGTATTCTATTGAAGTTTATTTACAAGCAGCTGATACAGGCAAGCAACTCAATGAAATAATTTACAACAACTTCCTTTATTCTATAATAGTGAAGTTTTCAATTCATCATATACAACAATTAAATAATATATCAATTCTCTCTATATTTATCGTTGGTTTCTTTACCCTAACATCTCGAACAAATATTTTAAAAATATCGGAGGTGAACTGAATAGAGAGGAGATTGAGAAAATCCCTAGCCGCCGCAGTCCATCAGCTTCCTCACATATGATTAGCATCTTTCTTTTTTGAAGCTCTCCTTTTCCAGATCAATTCCCATAACTTCATTAAAATATTGAAAGAACCTTGAACAAGCAAAACCAAATTCACCGTCACTCGAAACACACCACCCAAGTTCTAAAACAAACCGAGCTCCGACGCTACTACCTTAAATCACGGCTTCATCCTTTTCTTTTCCTTTCACAAAACAGCAGCTTTATTTTTTCTTCATTTTATTTCTCTCGCCATTAAACAGCCATGAAACACCAAGATCTAAGGATCTTTGTTGGGTACTAAGGTCGCGTTCAGATTCCAGTCGGTGTTCGAGTTCCCGTTGCCGTCGAGGTTTTTCGGTCTAAGGCTCCTGTTTTCTACTTTGAAGAGTTCATCTTCCATGTAATGCGATACTTTTATGTCCGTGGTCAGATCTTATTAATTTCGAGTATCATAAGATAAATTATATAGTTGAGGTGGTGACCTTTTCTTCTTGGCAGTAGCGATGTAGATATCACTTACATCTGGAGTGGCTAAATTTGCGTAAATTAATTTGAGCTTTTTGCTTATATTTTAATATTTTTATTATCGCTTGCTTGGTTATATGTTACGTATATAATATATATTTTGGTATTTGTCCTAATTATCTTAATAAAGAATTATAAAATGGATAATATTGTTAGATCCATTTAAATTCCAGCAGAGTTTGCGAGAAATATACAACCACCAGAAGTGGTTATGTTTCGTATATTTTATTGTAACTAAATTTTGTTAACCGCCAGAAGTAGTATATGCCTATGATTACCAGAAGTGATAATTTAGGCTTTTTATGGTTACAATTAAAGATAAACTAGAGAAATATTCTCTACATTATATGCACGCCTCGATTTGCTTCTGAAGTAGTAAATATTTTAAAAGAGGTTGAAGCATCACAATTTGATGTGATTAATGCGCGTTCAGATAATTATGTTCAATTTTCTACAAAATGTATCAAAAACTCCTGAAGAGCCAGCTGTTTAACTAGAAGACACATGACACCAGTAGTGCCCGAATAATATTAGATTGTGGATAATAAGTGAAGTCTCTCGAAGAGCTTATATACAAATATGTCATTCATATTATATGATTATGGTCAAAACATATGTTGTAGTAATCTGAAGTTTACTAATACAAATGACTATCATATTGAGACTACAAATGATTGGAAGATTGAAAATCTTTATGTTTCCACAATCATAAGGGGTAAATATGTATCTGAGAAGCTACCCCTCTTATTCTTCAACTTGTACTATATCATGCATCACAGTAAACTAGAAGTTTACTAATGCAAAAACAGCTACAGTAAATCAGAAGTTTTACTGCGACAAAAAGTAGCTATTGTAAGCCAGAAATTTACTGATACAAAAGTAGCCACAGTAAATCAGAAGTTTATTGATGCAAAAGTTTATGCCATAGTAAACTAGAAATTTACTTAGAGATATCACATGCCATGATAAACTTAAAATTTTTATTTGCCATTTTTTAATGAGCTATTTGAGAATTCAGATAAGCATATACTGAAGAACTAGAAGATTCTTTGAGAAGTCTCTTGTGTTGCTTGTTCTCATAATAAATTGATTATACCAGCTAAAGTTGGGACTAAAACCCATGAATTCTGGAATATATAAAAGGTGAATATGGGCCCATTCACCTATCATGTCAACCACTTATAAATGCATATATGAGTTGGTTGCATTGTCTTTATTGTCAACCTGCAGTTTGGCATTTGAAATTGCCATATCAAGATAGTTCATCTTGATGATGTTGGTTTATATCCAAACTAGTTTAGCATTGAATACTTCCTATTAATGGCTAAATTATTGCTTATGAGAACAAAGCTTCATGTGTTGGTTTAAGGTTTTCTAAATTGCATACAACATCATTTGTATGCATCAGACCAACAAAATATGATAAGTCATCCCCTCACAATTGGTTTAGGATCAGAAACCAAATATTTTTACTATCTAATAACTTTGGATGTGTGGTATATAATTAATTTCTCTACCACAATTCACAAAGATAGGCTTCCCAAAGAAGATTGAGGATATGAGTTAGTTTTTCTAACATTTGGGGGATGGAATAAACAGATGGAAAATATGTTATATGAATCGAATTATCATTAATATGATCCTCACTTAGAAGATAATTCAAGTCAAATGCCAGAAGCATTTGCTGATCCAAAATTCAATATCATATTTCAACTGCAAATGCAACTATTAAAATCAAAGTCCATGAAGGATAAAGTTTACTGTACGCATGGAGCCTAGTAAACCGATCGGTTCAAAAGGTAATAATCCTTGAAAAATAATAGGAGCAAATGATCAAAATGATCATAATGAGGAGAAAATAAGCTCTAGAAGAGCCCACAACATAACATTTCATGAAACTCCAGAAGAAGTTCAAGTACCTGAAAATAAAGAAAGTGATGAGATCTCAACAAGTTATGTCGCTTAGGAACCAATACAAAATGATCGTCGACGATATATTTGATATAATATAGTGCACCATATTATAAAAAATTATGAGGATCAGACCTGTAGTCCAGACACCTGAAGCTATCATGCCATTTAGATGCAAGTCATAACCTGTATGACTCATTTGATCAAATTTATATAAAGATCCCTGAAGGATTTAAAATGCTTGAAGCATATAATTCAAAGTCTCGAGAAATATACTCAATCAGATTAGAAAAATCTTTGTATGATTTAAAACAATCAGGGCGCACGCGATATAATCGCCTCACTAAATTGATGAATGAAGGTTATATAAATGATGGCATTTGTCCATGCGTTTTTACAAAGAAAACTGCATCAGAGTTTGTTATACTTGTTGTTTATGTTAATGACATAAATCTCATAGGAACTCCAGAAGAGCTCCAAAGGAAAAAACTTTGTTCTAGTATGCAAATTTAATATTTAGCAGACATGATCTTTATCCATCAATCTATCTATACAAAAAAGGTCTTAAAAGGCTTTTACATTGACAAAGCGTACCCATTAAGTACACCAGATGGGTGTTCGATCACTTGAAGTGAATAAGGATATTCTGACCTCTAAAAGAGGATGAGGAACTTCTTGGTCCTGAAATACTCTATCTCAGTGCAATTGGTGCACTTATGTATCTTTCTAATGCTAACAAAGGTGGTGCAGATCGTATTGGTTATACAGATGCAGGTTATTTATCTGATCCCCATAAAACTCGATCTCAAATCGGGTATGTGTTTATATGTGGAGGTACTGTCATATCATGGCACTTCACAAAAAATCTATTGATGCTACTTCTTCAAATCATGCTGAGATAATAATTATTTATGAAGCAAGTAGGGAATGCGTATGGTTGAGATCAGTGATTCATTTTATTTGAGAAAAATGTAGATTGGAATATGATAAAAACCCACAATATTATACGAAGACAATATTGCATGCATAGTCCAACTAAAGGGAGAATTTATAAAAGGAGATAGAACGAAGCACATTTCACCAAAATTATTCTACACACATGATCTTCAGAAAAATAGTGACATCGATGTGCAACAAATCCGTTCAAGTGACAATCCAGCAGATTTATCCACTAAATCTTTGCCAACTTCAACTTTTGAGAATATGGTATACAAGATTGAAATGCGGAGACTCAAATATTTGGAATAAGGTTTTATCAGGGAGAGTGAAATACGTGTTGTACTCTTTTTTTCTTACTAAGGTTTTTTCCATGGGGTTTTTCTTGTAAGGTTTTTAATGAGGGAGCTAGAATTGCATATTACTAAATATGTGTACTTTTTTTCCTTCACTAGGATTTTTCTCACTGGGTTTTTCCTAGTAGGGTTTTAACGAGGTACAATATCTTTTAATGAACATCCAAGGGGGAGTGTTATGAAAATAATTATAATGTTGATGTCTATTTATTACTCTGCTGCTTGGTACTCTATTGAAGTTTATCTACAAGCAGCTGATGCAGGCAGGTTGCAAGTAACTCAATGAAGTGATTTGCAGCAACTTCTTATTAAATAGGCAGGTTGCAAGCAGCTCATGCAGACATCTTACAAGCAACTCAAGAAAAGTCTCGCAGCTGCTTCCTTTCTTCTATAAATAGAGAAGTTTTCAGTTCATTATGTACAACAATTTGAAGTTAAATAATATATCAATCTCTCTCTATATTTGTCATAGGTTTCTTTACTTTACGGTCT